ATACTCTTAAATTTCTCACTTGCACACTAAATCAAAGGTGAGAACATAATTCCTTTGTCAGAGTGATTGGAGGAATTGTGGGTTGTGTGTGTTTGTGTTTATAAGCAGAAAATGGAGCTACACTATTGGTGGGAATATGGCGACTAGAAAACAAGAATAAATTAGATAAATGAAAAGCGCCTGTTGATACCACGGGGATTAAGAAGGCCAATTTGAAAGAAATTTTTGTTCTAGAGTTTTGAGGCTTTCTAAATGCTGGAAATGTTATCTTTGAAACTCTTTACAGTGGTCAATTTATGCCATCAACTCAGTTGATAATACTAAATTACCCTGTTATACTCTCCCACTGACACAGCACCACAGTTTCTTTAGAAACTTACCCCCTTTCCTCATGAAGGAGCCTGGTTGTAGGCTACCCACACCCAAAGGTTGTCTACCAACTTGACTGACTTATTGATGGAATTTATTAAAACTGCATTATTGCCTCATAGGGAGTGTACCATCTTTAGCTGCTGGGCTGGCATTTGGTGGCATTTCTGCACTTGGTGCTTACCAGACCTCCTCAAATCCAAGAAATGTTTGGGTCATGCTCGGTAAGAACATATTAACTCTTTGCAACAATAGGCCATTTCTGAGTTACCTCTGGTCTCATTTCCAAAGTAAGTCCTGCTGCTCATCCTTTCATTCACATGCAAATTAAACTCATTTTCATATGAATGGTTGACCACCAGGCTTTGAAAAAGAGGCTTAAAGTAATTTGGAAATGGCATATTAATAATTTACCCATGGATGACAATGCTGCACTATATAAAATTGATTATACAATTCTTCTTCTGTATCATAAATCTTCATTTACCTATCATTTCAGTGACATCAGTGGTCCTGTCTGGAGTGATGGGATCAAGATTTGCAAGATCAGGAAAGTTCATGCCAGCTGGGTTGGTGGCAACTTTGAGGTACCTTAAGTTGTTTGCTAAAACAAAATTGTTTTTCTTGTTAGACTCAAACTTTAAAAGAAAACTTTAGTACAATGGTGAATTGATTTCTTTATTTTTCAGTGTTGCTCAAGCTGTGCGCATGTCTTACCGTCTGATGCAGAACTGATAACAAGATTCTAAACAGCTTTGTTTCCAACTCAGTGTCATGCATTATCTACCCTGTAATGTAGCTAGGTTTTGTTAGTGATATTCCATATTCATCTAGACTGAATATTGAAATGTAAAATCAAGGTGCTGTAATGTTAAAGACGTATTCATGCTACATTATTGCTGGTTTTTAACTATCCAGTTTAGTAAGTCTTCTATGTAAAAACCCTCCCCTTTCCTCTTTTAGACTCTGTTGTATATCATGGAGATGCAAAGGTGTAAGAAACACAAGAATCTGTCAGCATTTTTTTTCAATAAAGGAATGTTTACAGCATTATGAGTGAATGTCATTTTTTAAATTGGATACTAAACCTACAGGATCTGATTGTGAATTTCTCCTCTAGCTGCTACACATTTCCTGTAAATTAGTTATGAGAATTTGTTATTAGATCAAGATAACAACCTCTACCTGATAAGTTTGAGTATTCTCATTACCTGTTTGCTGGGTAATGTAAGGATATTATGGGTAGAAATTAAAGGGTTAACAAAACATTCTAAATCATCCAACCAATAGCAATTTATCTGGTGAAAATCATTATCCACCCTTTAAGGAAGCCATCCAGGTGATTATAGAGATTTCCACAGTTTGATTGGTTCACATAAACACAACATCTTGCCACAATCATCCACTGTAAGGTTGTAATAGAAGTCAGGCACTGATTTAAACATGGCCACTGCACAATATTTTGATGCCTTCGAAAGTAAATAAAAAAGAGGAGGAATTGGAGTAGCCCTGATGTTCACCCGAGTAATTGTACTAAAACAATTATTACTCTCCTTCAGCCAGTTAAGCCAGTCAAACTTAAGGTGTGCTTGTTCCTATTATTACTGCGAAGGATAACAAATTATTTAACACAAACAATAAATAGACCAGTACGTGTTACTGACCCATCAAAGCAGCACAATAAATTCTTTAGAAACTAATTTCTTCTTTTATTATAAACATGGGACAATGCTGATATGTACAAAGGCAAGTAAATAATTCCCTTGCTCTCCTATTTTGTATTACAAAAATTTGCAACTGAAGTTGTCAAAAATACATTTTCCCTCTGAACTGCACAGCATAGAGACTTCCTTTATGCAATCCAGGTATGTTTGAGTAAACAATGATTTCTTAAAGCAGTCTAAATGTGAAAAATATGTACATCTTAGCCACAGAAATAAATAATGAGCAGGTTACTAAAGAACAAAAACGTCCTTAGACAACTGAATTGTGGCCTGCATTACAGACTACTTTTAATTAAACATTGATATCATAATTTATATTTTGTGATCTGCAGGTACGAGGGCAATCTGTACCTGCTCCCCGTGTGTGTTAGTTAGAATGAACTTAGTAATGACCTAGCTTATTGAAGAGTCTTGGAGGCTCAACAGTAAAGCATCAGAGCATGTAATTTTGAAAGGTCTGAAGTTCCATTCTTCAGGGGAACTCAGAACTTTTTTATCCCACCCTTATGACAAGATGGAAAAACATCTTTTTGAGAAGGACAATTGTCAGATTCACTTGTTATGAATATTGGGCAAAGAAAACTCTTGACTTCCAAAGCTGAAATTTCAAGCAGATGACTGCTTGTTCACTTATTTACCTCTCTCAAGCTGTTTGAGTCTTTCCATATTAACCAGATACATGTTAAAAATATGTATAACCTTTGAAAGTCTGGTGATTGTGGGTTTTTATGAGAATTAAATGTTTGAAGTGATCTTAAAAACCACAAAGAATTGGCTCTTAAAAGAATGAAATCTTGTGATAATTGTTTACTGCAGTAGACAAACAACAAGGAGGTAAGAATCTACCCAACAGGAAGGGGGATGGTTTAGAATCCAGCAGAGATTAACACAGATTGTTGATGGTGGAATTAAAAACTAGGGCTAAAACTGTCACGATGAGCAAACCATGAACCAGCCCTATTGAAAGATATGTATTCAAACAAGTACATATGAGTTTATTAAATTAGCTGCGAGCAGCAGGAGACTTGCTAGAGGCCCTTCGTGCCACACCTGGTCTGGCAGGGGACTTGCTCAAATTCTCCTTACTCCCTTCTCTGCCTCTAGAATTACTTCTTCCTCTTGTTTCATCCCTTGATGTTCTGCCTCCCTGATCAGTCACTGAAGTCTTTTTTCCAGGTATCTGTGACGTTCTTTTAGTCAGTGGTGCACCTTTCTTTGCAGCTTCACGAGCTTTCTTTCTCTCTGCCACCTTCCTTGCTTCTTCAGCTTCTTCTTGTTTTCTTTTCTTTTCTTCTTCCAACAGTTTCTCCTTCTGCTCAGCAACAGAATGGACTTCCTCTATCATGTTGGTTGACTACAAAAACCAAAGCATCATTGTCAATCAAGCATTACATAATACATTGAATAACCACACATTTTGATTAGTTGTTACCTATGATCTATTAGAGGACAGACCCATCCTTACAATATCACCCCTAAATCAAACATTAAGGTCATGAGAATAAATGAACTGATCACCCACTAAAGAAGCTCTACATTGC